TGTTACAGTGGCACTCGTCAATTGACGGTGCGTTCAAGACCAACAAATTTACAAAAGAAGTTACATTAAAAAAAATATAAAAGCACAAGCACAAAATTTGAAAGCCCCTTCTTATCAATAGATAAGAATTAGAGGAATTAATTTTTCCAGTGTAATTTAGCATAAATTAATGCCTTATGAATCAACAGAAAGCCAAGAGGCTAAGTGTGCATCCGGGCCACAGAGAAAGAAATAATTGATACAATAATGTATAGTATTTTTTACTGTCTGGTTTGAAACAGAATCAATCATCATATTCATTTTCTGCCTCATCTTTCGGCTGCTTTAAATGTGACCGACTTGTCAACCCAGCACTGTATACCATGCTCATTTATGATTCATACACATTTGGCGTGAGACTCGCGTCACATTTAGGGTGTGTCTCACGCTTAAGGATCAAAATCTCACTCATACAGTAAATGTATGCCTATGATAATATAAAATACTATTTGTGACCTTAGTTAGTAAAAATTTTCCTCTACACTTGTATACCAACTACCTGCACTAACACCTGTCTCTTATACACATCTAGATGTGTATAAGAGACAGGTACTGGGTAATAAAACACATACAAGCGTTAGTTGGCGTCCTACACTAGCTGCGTAGAGCGTATCGTTTTTTTACGCTCCCAATGAGCTTTGTTGGCTCTCTTGTTCTATTTATACTCTTTGATTACAGTAAAAAAAACCAATATTGGCTATTTGGGCTATTTTGATTAATTTGGTTAATCATAGTGATGGTTCCTTTTGGGTTTTGTTTTGTTTTTTTTTTTTTCGCTTAAGTTTTAATTTTGTTTTTTTATTTACTTATTTATTTTTTGCGATTTTTGGAGAAATTTCTTTGGGAATTTTTGAATTTAATTTTGAATTTGTTTGAATTTTCTTTTGAAATTATTTGGAAACATTTTGGATTTTTGAATTTTTCTTAATTTCTACACAGCGTATTGTTTGGGTATTTTTTGAATTTTTCTTTTTTTTTATATATATATATTTTTCTGCAGTTACTACATTTACACAGGATATTTTGGAGAAACTTATTCAAATTAAAAAAAAACGAAATATTATCCACACCATCTATCTGAACCTTAAGTTTCATATCTTCTACTACACAAGACATACTAATGACCATTTAAATAAAATGATGACATTGATGGTCAGAGGAAACCAAATTTCTACTGTGTATCCGATGAGAAAGAAATATATCCAAAACATTTTTATTTGAACAACTTTAATGATTTATTATTTATTATCCATTAAATAACCCATATTAACCCTGAATGAGACTCCAAATTAACACTTCAGTCACAAATGAATTTATGGCAGTTGTCGCATATCGACGATACAAATACGAACATGCATATGAGCATGAAACAAAATTACACTCCAAATCAACAGTCATATACTAAATTTAGAAAACTGATTTTTTAGAACTGAGTTTATGGTGGTTCTCACATATCGACGATACAAGTAAGAACATGTATATGAGCATGAAATATATCAAAAATATTTCTATAAAACTGCAAAACAACAAGGTTATACGCTTGTAGTATCTGGCCTCTTTCCAATGCACCAGTAAATATAAAATGTTCATGCTTCTTCCAAAATATATCCGTTATGAGATACCTGGAATATTGTGATTCTGTTAAGGTTACCCAAGCATTGAACCAATTTGGACGCCTCCCAAATATTTCACGGATATACAGAGCGATGCCACTGGCCTTTACCAGCGCCTTCCTCACGCTAATGGTCATAACTCGAGCTTTAAGCAAGTGGAGCTTTTGCGCCAAAGAAGGTGCTATGTGAAGAAATGGGTAGAGTCCACTGGTTAACTGCTTACACTGCTTGGAAACCCTATTGAATGTCCCAATCATTCCCTGTTAATTGAGATAATATGGATTCTGCTGACGAGGTTATATTACAGTTTTTAAAAAATCAATTTTAGCATGCAAACTGTTAGAAAATAATGTAGAATTTGCCAGTTGTAAACCACGACACTAATTTATCCGAAAGAACGACACAGGATATTTACAAGAAATAAAGGTGTGGCCCACATGAATGATTTAAAAGCAAATTCCAGAGAAATTAAGGTACGCGTACATCAAGTACGCCTGTAAGCATGGCGGTTCCAAAGTGTCGAAAAAAAAAATCAGAAAAAAATCAGACTGATTTATAGAAATCTTTTTAGAGAGTGACCCAGAAGAAGTCCCTTTAAAAATAGCTGACAACAGAACTTCTATTGTTATATGGAGACTTTTCTGGGCCACCACGTAGTGGGATTAGATCTTCGCCTTAGATCTCAGATCTTGTTTTTGCTAGAGGTGAGGCAATTTAGCTTATAGTTATGTTGACCATCGTTGTTCTGCAGCGAATAACTTGCTCTGAAATAATTTTCTAAACCTGCATCCAGAGCATGTTCTGGATACAAGCAGGCGCAGGGGTCTTGGGTCAGGGGAGAAAAGGGTAATAATTTTCCCGTTTAGTAATATATCATACTCACCCCACCACCCCCCACCCCCCACATATAGAATGCAATACGACATAGGGCTTTCTTATTTATAATATAGGCCACACACGTGTGTTTGAAACTAAATATAAGCATTTTCATCATGGTTTTATTTATTACAAACATATTCTTTCACTATCAATACACACTGAGGCCCTTCTTTTAGGTAAAACGATTTATCTTAAATGTTCTTTCTATTTGAGTTGGGACTATTATGTGTTCAATTAACTTAGAAGGCAAAGGAGAACAAGCGCAATTTTTTTTAAAGTTTAGGGCTTATGTTATTAATGGCCACACACGTGTTTTTTTAAACTGAATATAAGCATTTTCATTATGGCTTTATTTGTTACAAACATATTCTTTCACCATCATTACACATTGATGCCCTTCTTTTAGGTAAAAACAATCTATCTTAAATTTTCTTTCTTGAGTTTGACACTATTATGTGTTTAAATAGTTTAGAAGGCTAACCCTAAAAAAATTTTGTTTTTAATTCTAATTTCGTCGGAATTGATCAAAACTCCCTAAATTGTGCAATCTTTTTAGAGGAAATCTGCCTACCTGAACAAGAAATGCGCGAAGCGCGCGAAATTTGAGATATTTTTGCACTTTCAGGGGATAAAAAGGGCATCTTCAAGGGGTGGGGAAAGATTTTCCACAGATGGATATTTTCCCCTTGTTTCTCTCTTTTTCCTTTCCTTTTATTTTCCCCTTCTTTCTCTTTCCCTCTCTCTCTCCTCTTTCTTTTCTCTTATTACCCAGCCCGGGACGACGGCATGATCAGCCCGGTAAAAATCGTCAGGGGGAGACTGCCCCCTTTACCCCGCTCGCCTGTTACGCCACTAGATACAAGCACATCTACTCCTTCACTGTATGCTTTTTATATAACACATCAAACTTACTTTTTTGGCTTGAGACACAAAGTCCTGGTATTCCGCCCAAAAAACATAGTTTGTCTTTAAAGCGCTTTTGTACCCCGTATCCATGTGAATTACCATACCCGGTACTTGTTTTTTAGGAACGAAAAAACAAACAAACAAACAAACAAAATTTAAAAAAAGAATGCAAACTTTTTCCTCGACTCCATGCTGGGAGTGTGTGACGATGTGTGGCCTTTGGACAAGGTTCAAAATAGAAACTTGCTTTTATTTTTATGAAAAAAAAAGAGCCAAGTTGCTTGCTTTGTGGGGGAAAAACCAAAAGTTTTTATTTGTTAAAACTAAGTATTTGGATAGAAAAGTGAGGTTTTTTGCAGTAAGCACAACATATCATACTTTTTATCGTAAAATGCCAAGTTTTTACATTATGCGTTGATAGGTTTTTACATTATGCGTTAGAAAATGTTTTTACATTATGCGTCAAAAGTTTTTACATTATGCGTTAGCAAAATTTTTTACATTATGCGTTGGTTTACATTTTGCGTTATTTTTTTACATTAAGCGTCAAACCTTTTTACATTATTCGTTAACCATTTTTTTTACATTATGCGTCGTTTTTACATTAACAGTTGTTACAGGCCGCATTGGACCTGATAGGTAGGAAATTCACAATTTGCTAGAAAAACCACATTTTGGTAGTGAAATCTAGGAATGTTTATTTTGAGAATAGAGTAAGCGAATACGACACCTCCAGGGAAAGAGGCGAGAAATAAGGACGTAGTACAAGTTAATGAAAATTAATTTAATCCATCGAAAAATTGTAAAGTCAATATTTCTCTATTGCTAAATATTCATACTTATTATGAATTAGGCCTATTATCATTAATTATTAAAAGGAAGGTACTTCACCTTATTGGAATAAGATACTTCTATTCCACGATCCAGGATTTAAAAAAAAAATTTAGTTAATGAGGGCTGGTGTCGCTATATTGAATTTTTTATTTAGTGAAATCTATAGTACAAGTTACTGAATTGTTAAATATTACTAATCACTATGAATTATTATTATTATGCATTATTATTATGTATTATTATTATTATTATTATTATTAACCGTGTAACTACATCATTCTTTATTTTAAATGATAAGATTGTCCAATCCCGGAATCAGTGCAAGCATGGAGGAAAAATTATTTTTTCCTTCATGGTGCATGGAAACAAGGATTGGATTTTTACATTTAATTTTAGTACTATTCATTATGAATTATTATTGATAAGTTTGCCTTCAGTGAAATAAAATATATCTATTCCAGAAAAAAGAAAAGAAAAAAAGAAGTCTACAAAGTTATTATATTGGTCCGTTGTAACAATATCTAATTTAATTAGCTTACGGAGAGTTATTTAACCAGTAAGGCTATACAGGACTGTTCAAAACAGTAAAATTTGTCTGTAGATAAATATAATTTTCAGTAAGTAATTCCAAAACACAGAAACCAACACATAACTATACAAACGTTTTTATTTATATATTTATACAAACACACAAACACAATACTTTTTCTCAAATGTAGGTCTATGGTCCAGTTTTTCAAATAGCAAAATAAATGACAGAATGACCTAAATATTATAATTATTATAAATTAAATAAATACAATTATAGGCCTAACAATTAACAAATACTATTCCGAAATTATTGTTGGCTTTTAGCTGCATTTACATAGGATTTGAACCGAAATTCGGACCGCGTTTCCGATACGCTGAACGCCAGTGTCCCTATTCTTTACACTGATCCGATTTCCTGTAAGCTTTCCCAAACGAAAATTCGGATTCAGTGTGAATGCAAATTTAGAGAGGGTGTTTGGATATTTGGTGTTAAGAGGTTTCGCAACATTAAAAAAATGATATCGCATACGATTACGTCATTATCATTATCGTCATTCGTGCCTAAAACATTCTTGACAATAATGCTGTAGGAGCTGAATATGATCCTTGATTCAAAAGGCATAAATCGCCTACGTTGTGACAAATATTATGGGAACGGTTGTCTAAACATTATGACTGTTTCGTAAGCTTCCGAAAACTCCTTACTATCATGTAGGATAGTATATCAAATACCTTCCCAATATCACTAGCAGGATTCTTGATTTTCAGACCTGTGTAGGTTTACAAAATGTATATTAGACGAAACGTGTACTAGTAAATAAGTTGCTGCTCAATATTTCATGAGAGGCTCATTGGAAAGTGTCAACTCAGTATTATCGTTAATTACAAGGCAGTTGGCAATTGTTAAACGAATTCCTAATTCTGATTACTAATTATAAGGATGTTCTGTACCTTCTACGCAACAGACTTTTTTCTTTGTGTTGCAATCCATTGATATCCAGTGGCTTTCCATCTCAATATAAGCACAATCTTTGTCACTTGCCGGCTCACCTGATTTCCAAGCTGAAACACGGTAAAAACGTGATTGTTTTTATCAATGATATTGCTAACATATGATGAAAACAAACTGATAATAGATCTATGTCATGCATATTTTAATTAACCAGTAAATTTCTCTGAAAAGAAAACTTATTGATACATTTCAAATTGACAATTTTGTCGCCAATGAAATTATTATTATATAGTATTATTACTATTACTAGATGGTGCGCTCGCTTCGTTCGCTTACCCTCTAGTATGTTAAACATCGCAATTAGTTTTGATAAAATAGAACAATTATTAATGGCCACTAAAAGAAGGTTGACCTAATTACAGAAGGAACTAGAGATACCATGTTCAATAAAACATGAACCCAGTCTTTTATCAGGATTTGATCCAAGATGACACCTGTGACCGTTAATCTCATATGCGCATGTGAGAACGTTAAGGTCACCTCGTCGCGAGTAGATTCTGGAACGCAATTTGGCCAATCAACGTATGCAGAGAACTCGTCAACAGCTCTCGTTTATACACACTAGCAAATATTGCTTGAGAGACTGGACTGCTTCGTTTTCGTTATTGTTTTGCTATATTTTGTTCCTCCTAAATGTACTGTTTCCCGCTGCATGTCATTTGTGGTAAATATTGTCTATAATTTTCTAGAATTTAATTGACAAGTCTGAGGAGGCATCTATGCCTGGCGATATTATTTAATAGCTGACGATAGCACACGACGAAGTGCCTGGTTGTTGGACTCGGCACAGATTTCTTTTGTTATTCCGTCCCTGACAAGCGACCAATGGGCAGCGCATAATCGCGAGCTTAAACAATACCTTGGTCCGCTTCACTTTGATATTTCAACAAACGACGTTTCGCCAGCTGACGCCGGTGAAGAATTTACACAACGCCTTCGAGAACATTAGTAAAGCTCAATCAACTCCCACTTTCTCAAAGGAAACAGCCAATACATACTTTCCCCAAAAATATAGTCGAGCGAATAACGTCGATATTCAAAATCTTAAATGGTTCCCCTCTATATCCCTAAAGGAACACTTCATACCTTTTAACCTCGACCCAATTAGACCCAGAGACGTCAGAAAAATTCTCAATAACAAGAAACCAACTTCAGCCCCGGGGGAAGATGGCATCTTATATGGACGAAAACTTCCAGCAACACATCATCTCATTGCCACATTATTTAGTAACTGCTTATCAGCGGTGATCCTCCAGTAAGATGGTCACGCAGTGTCGTCACCCTTATCCATGAGGATGGTGACACTAGCAAACCAGGTAACTTTCGGATGATTTCTTTAACATCTTGTATCGTTAAATTATTCCATCAAATTGTTGCCGAACGAATAGCTAACTTTATGACAAGCAATATGTATATTGATCCTGAAAAACAAAAAGCGTTCCTGAATGGGATAAATGGATGCGTAGAACATTCAATTGTAATAAATGAATTGCTAGCGCACGCAAGAAACAAGAAAAGACAATTCACGTAACTTTTTTGGATTTAGCCGACGCCTTTGGCTCAGTCGAGCATAACTTAATACACTACATGATGGAGAGATATAGAATCCCACCTACCATCCACAGTTATATAAATACACTTTATTCAAGACTCAGTGGAAAAATCCGTGGTCCTGCTTGGCAGTCATCAGATTTTAATTTCTGTCGGGGGGTGTTCCAGGGTGACCCCCTGTCACCTATAGTTTTCTTAATGGCTTTCAACCCGATTATACACTACCTGAAAACCAAGGAGTCCGCGTATGGCTACGAACTCGAAGGAAAGAAATTTATCACTCTTCCATTTGCAGACGATTTTTGTCTAATCACTAAAGACAAAAGGACACATCAGAAACTAATGAATGAGATAATAGATATTACACAATCTATGCATCTTTCTCTTAAGCCTGTTAAGTGTAAAACCATGTCCATCAGAGGCGGTAAGCCTGATGAATGTAACTTTTCATTGGGGGCTAATATTCTTAAGTCCTTGAAGAGTGCACCCAAGAAATTCCTCTGTAGTATGTTGTTTTTTAGTGGTAAAACTAAGGAAACCTTTGAATTCATAAAGAATAATATTAATGGAACAATTAACAACATCAATAAAAGCCTTATTAAAAACGAATTCAAATTGCGTATATATATATACAATACGCTACACCATCATTTCGCTATATGTTAACAGTGCATGAGTTAACTGACTGTCAGCTTCAAACGCTTGACCACATACACACAAATGCAATTAAACAATGGACTGGATTGGCCATAAACGGACCTACACCAATTCATACATAGTCCAGAGGGATTAAATTTCCCCCGAATATCTGACGTGTATCTGGAATCACATGTCCTAGCATATTCTCGTTCCCTGGTTAAGGCTGACAGTTGGGTAACCCATGCTCAGAAATGTAAATTAGAATGAGAAACAAGATGGTCAAGAAAAATGCAAAAAAATGGCTCTAGAAAATGGCAAGCAGTCCACGATAGATCAGTTTCTAGGGCTGAATCGAATACCAATTGGTCAAAAATTAAGCCCCATATAAAAGAAGCTATATTTGAAAATAGGATTGAATTCTGGCATCAATATGTGGAACCCCTAAGGAAACAGGGTGACCTACAGTACTAAAGCTTACACACCTTATCTCTGCAGATCTTACATGGAGATCTTTGATTTATAATTTACCTAAGGGTGTATTGAGTTTCGCAGTGAGGGCATCTATAGATTTTTTACCCACTCTAAGTAATCTCCGTACATGGGGTAAGCGAACAAATGATAAGTGTAATATGTGTCAAAATAAGGAAACTCTTGTGCATGTCCTAAATTCATGCCCTGTATCACTCGAACAGGGCCGATTTACGTGGCGGCACGATTCTATAATACATTTGCTGATTAAATATATTCTGAAATATAGGAGGGTTGACAATGTTTATGCAAACGTAAAAGGCTACTCCATAGCAGGGGGAACAGTTCCCCCAAAGGTCATCATAACGAAGGCAAAACCGGATATTGTTATCGTAACAGGTAATAATATCGAACTTTTGGAATTAACCGTACCATTTGAAATGAATATCGATAAAGCGCATCGACGAAAAGAGGATAAATACAAAGATACCATCAACGATATTGTCAGAAATGGGTTTAGAGGTAAACTTACCTGCCTTGAAATAGGAAGTAGAGGTCTCATTACTCCAGCAAATGAATGTAGAATAAAAGATATTCTTAAGAAACGCAAAAGCAATAATTAAGGAATTTCAGAAACTGCTCTCGTTACCATGCTACACAATTTGGAATGCTAGGTTTAACCCTGCATTGGAAAATATTACACTAATGTAATAGTTCTTGGATGGC